AAAAAAATATAAAAAAATATAAAAAAATATAAAAAAATATAAAAAAATATAAAAAAATATAAAAAAATATAAAAAAATATAAAAAATATAAAAAATATAAAAAATATAAAAAATATAAAAAATATAAAAAATATAAAAAATATAAAAAATATAAAAAATATAAAAATAAAAAAATAAAAAAATAAAAAAATAAAAAAAATATAAAAAATAAAAAATAAAAAAAATAAAAAAAATAAAAAAAAAAAAAAACAAAAAAAAATTAATAAAATAAAAAATAAAAAAGGAAAAAAACAAGCAAATCAAAAAAGAAATTGAAATTGACTTTTCCTCTGCGTCCACAACGAACAACCTCTGACAAGTGCATCATGATTGGTCGAGCCGTTCTCGAGCTTTAGCGTCACTAACAGACAAACATTAATTTTTATATATTAAGAAGATTAAAATAACGCTAAATAATACATTTGTTGATGTTCCCTTAAACTCTTCAATGCTAGCTTTATATTACTTTACCATTCGTTTCCTCTCTGCTTTTCTCATATTAATAGCTAATTTGTTATTTTAATGAGTTCACATTTACTCATTAAATATACATAAATGCAGCTATAAGTATTTACATATGTATATTATATGTAGATACATTTCATCTTCAATTCTGGTTATTTTGTTAAATTTTTGCACATCATCGATTTAACTCTTCAGGCAATATTTGCCTAACACACATACATATGTATATATGCATATATGTATTGCACATACGCTTATGCATAAATGTATGCACAACCGTAGGTATGTAAATGATACTTGTTGCATTCACCCCTTCTTTCGGGACGGCGCATGCATTATTTGTTTATAAGAGTAGTTGAGTGAACGTCATCAAATAACGCAACGTAGCGATTTTCATTACCGCCCACTTTTCTGTTTGTTTGTCTGCTTGGCTATCGATGTTAAATAACAGTCAATAATTGGCAGCTGCTTGCTGGTGTATGAACCCAGTTCGCATACCAGTTGACGTTCTTGGAAATTTGTCTGTGTACTGGAATTTCTCAAATCATATTTTAATAAATTTACAAACATTTGCGAATTGATTTTCAACGGACTTTGTCGGCATTGAAAAATCGGATCGTGCATTATTTTTTTATTTTAAGAATTTCCAAAAAATTTACTCTCGCTCTAACACATAAAATGGGCTCTACCTCAGGATTATGAACTAGCAGCATATGGTTTTAAAATTATAGGTAAATTATAAAGATGACCTTATCCAAGAACACATTCTTAAATTCAGTATCTTGGCCAAATGAATGCTACCACTTTTATTTATCACAACTATTATGTAGGATATGACGTTGCTGTTGTTATTGTAGTTGTAGTTGTATCTGTTTTATAACTCCACTTGGGAGCAGACGAGACTAGTCTTAAGTAATCGAGATCATCTATCGGGAGGTCCAGGAAACAAGCTGCTTCAACAGACTTGCTTGGTGTCGTGCGAGGTATCCTTGCATACATTGGGTATGTCGGTGTCAAGTCTGGATATGTAGGAATCAAGTCGATTGCTGTATCCAGATCTTAATTGTGCAAATATTCCTCAACTCTATTCAGGCAGCTAGAGCTTTTCGTCGGCAGTAGATGGTGACTGGATGCCAAGACGCATTTTCACTGGTAGAGAGTTTAATGTCGTTTAAGGCCTGCCGCCTACACCTTCCCTTTCTAATGTGACTATTTGAGGTTTCAGTGTCAAGTAAAAGTTTCCCAGCGTTCCAGCAGAAATTGCTTGTACAGCATTACATTGTGCTCCTTAACACATAGCACAGACGTTTCGCTGCGTAAATGATGCTCCGGTGACATCAGGAGGTGTAGTGTTACGGTACTCAGGGCGGTGTTCTGACATCTTCATCTACATCTCCTCCTCCCCGGCCAAATGAGAGCATTCAAATTGGCTTGTATAATGTGCAGCCGATTTCTGTGTCTTTCCCCAAGGTACAGGCTGCAAACGATTTGACGATTTTGTTGCAACTTTGTACTTTTGTGGCAATTGCAAGTGCAGGCTATTGCATGTGGCTTCCATTAGTTTTGCATTATTATCAGAATTTTTATGTCATCGACTTCACACCGTGTGCAAGCCGGTAGTACTTCGACCGGGTGGTGAAAAGGGTAGTCGAGGATTTTGCTTGTAATAGCTGTAGGTGTCGTTAAGCGAAGTAGTGGGAAAGGTCGGCAAGGTAGCATTACTTTAGAACATAAGCTATCAATATTTGGACTTGACTCCAATATCGAAAAGTCATAGGCGGAGGAGCTAGCTTTAAAGTTTCAATATTAAACGAAATCCAAGAAGGGACACCACCTGACCGTATCCCCGTTTTAATCTTACGGAGTTTCGAAGTATGTTTTGTTCGATTCTATGAAACCCGTTGCATCCAGCCAAAGGTTGTCATCCTTTCGGTGAACTAACCCCACTTAGGTCATTGGATAAGGTGGTGATTATTATGCGATCGCCTCTTACAAGCATGACAGTCTTTTGTAAATTTTGTTTTCTAATTTAATCCACAGTAAAATCAAATATTTATTACTAAAATCCTCTCTCAGGTTTTTACACTAATCTATTACAAAAAATAAAAATGGCTTCTGTGAGCTATTACCCGAAGCACCGGTGCACATAGTGCTTAAAAGCGAAGCTGTCACTAGAAAAAGACTGAGACATCTAGGCATCATTAAGTCTGTGTAAAGTCACATCAAATCCTTCCACTCTTCTATGTTTTTTTAAGGGCGCTAGAACTGTTTAAAATGTGATATGAAGAAATCGGAGGGCACATTGGTCGCGGGCTGTATCCTCACTCTTCATTTATCCTTCTATTACAAAATATGTATACTTTTTTGGGCAAAAATCTGCTATTATAATTGCAATAATATGAAATTATTACTTCTAAGAATTTTTCTTTCCGAAATTCCAACGAATTGCTTACGCAGAACAGTAATTATTTTAAGAAAAATGCTAATAAAGTAGCAAAATATTTATTTGATAACAAAAGTTATTGTCTCTCACGTAATTGTGTAGCGTGTTTCACGCCATTGATAGCGCCGTGGTGAGTACAGAGGCTGGTAATGGCTAAATGGCTAAATGTGAATGGTAAATAAAAATTCTTAGCTGTAAAAAAGTTTGCCGTATTATGACGTTAAGTTGTTTGTTTGTTTGTTTCATTTCAAATCATTTCATTTCAGTCTGCTTTGCACATTGTTATTGTAATGTGATGAAGAAGGTGACTCATTTTTGAACGTGCTTATCGCCATAGTACATATGTACATATCTATGTAAATGTACGTAAGCCAAGCATTAGTTTAGCAAAATAAATAAATAAAAAAAATTATGAATTTTGCTGGACGCCGCAATTTCACATAATTTTATTATTTTTATTTTTTTTTTCTCAATGTCAGAGTTAGGCGCCTTGATCTAATTTCAAAAATGCTTTATTTCACCGAATGCACAACCAATGAGCGCTCGATTTTATGTTATCTATGTGTTTATTTACATTTTTTTTTTGTCCCCACACATCTCAATGCGCGGCACACAACAGGTTCTTGCCGGCGAAGTAAAATCGGAAACAAAACGAAAATGTAATCACAAGTGTACATATGAATGTATGTATGTTTGTATGTATGTAGAGTGGTCTGCTTAAATTCAGTCGAAATTGACTTACCTGTTGGTTTAGAAAATTACCTTCACTTTGCTTTTTCCCAAATTTAAATGCCATCGCGGACATTTAAAGATCTCGTTTATACTACGGCGTGCACGCATGTGTTTGTGTAGGTAGTTAGAGAGTTAGAGAGATCCTTATCGCTGAAGTCGCCATCCAAATGCCATATTCACTTATTTACTTAAGGTAACGAGAGATTACTTGTAGTTTGTAGAGTTTAGAGAATTCGAAAATCTATTGTGGGTAATAGTAAATTTAATACACATATATGTATGCACATACATATGTGTACGTAAATACCTGCTCATACATATACAATACATATGTTTGTGTTGTTAGCCTTCTCGCTACACATTTGGTCGAGTGCCACTCAAATGATTTGTTTGTTTGTTTATTTGTTGTTGGTAGGATATTTATATTTTTAGTCACGTCTTTTATTGCATTTATATATATATATATGTACATATATTATATACATATATATGAATTTATGTTTCCCTTCGAAATTGTTTTACTTTCATGGCTCGGCCATTGCGTATGCGACCTCTTCTCCAGCTCAGTCGACATTTTCTTGGGAAATCGTATGAATTCTCCACTATTTCTTGTGGTTTTTCTTGATTTGCATTCATTATCGGTCGTTGTGTTGTAGCGTAAAGTGTTTTGTGTTTCAAGAAATTTACATTTATTACTTACACCATTTTTGTTTGAACTTTGTTTCAAATAACTTGCTGAAACTTTTTTTTTTTTTAATTGAAAATAGAAAAAAGCGCTAAAGTAGAATTCGTTAAATAAAAGATCGTCGTGAGTGAATTGTTTTTATCTAAATGTTTTGTTTTTTCGCTAAGTTGGTACCGATTAGAAATTGCTAGTTGGCTGTCACCATAGCAAACAAAATTCCAAAAAAAAAGGAAAAAAGTGAAGACAAATTGTTCAGCATTGTTTGAAAAATATATACTTACATATATATGTGTGTACATACATACATACATACATATATATTAAGATTTGTGCTGCCTCGAGATGTTTAAAAAAAATTTTGTTTCTTAGTCAACCCAATATAATTAGAAATTCACTTACATAATGCAATGCATCGATATAAAAAAGAACCTTAAAAATAATTTTATAAGATATGAGTTTTAAGTATTGTAGAAATCATTTAGCGTTCATAAATTTTTTTTTAAATTTTCATAAGCGACAGCCTGTGTGTATCTACTCAGCATTTATTAACCTCTCACCACTATCGTTTATGTGTATCATCATAAAGTAATGAAGATAGAAGGCGCATTTCTTGGAATGATTTGGTTTTAACTGTAGTCCGCTGATTTTAACTCGACCGAAAATAGCGATATCTAAAGTAAGCGGCCGCAATAGCCAGCCGAGTGGTTAGCATTGCGTACTGTCGCTCGGAATACCAAACCTCGAGTCGTGGTTCTTCGGCCACCATCCAAAAATTATAGTAATAATTTTTTTAACTGCGGTCGCCTCCCGGTAGGGAATGTCAAGCCCTCCGGTTGTAAGAAATAAAGACTTCCCATAAAAAAAAACCATCAGCCGTTTGGAGGCGACTTAGAATAAACTCCACTTGTGAGTAAAACAACAAGACGCATATCACAAATTGGAGGAAGAACAATGACGGAAATCGCTTCATTACCTTCGCTAAAAGTTAAATAAATAAACATTTTTTCAAGTTGAAGGCTCAAAAATTGTATTTAGTTTAATTTAAAACTTTTAACACTACATATATAAAAATAACTGAATATTTCCAGTACGTGAGCAAAATGCTCTTGCGCGACAATCCATGCAACTGTGTGGAGCGCGCATTCTCTAGAGTTAAGAGCAAAAAATTGCCGGAAATTGTCATTTAAAGTACTCACGCTGAGCGCGATCTGTCAACCAGTTTGTTTGTAGCAGCTCTTGAAATCAGTCGACCCGAGTTCCCTCTGGGAATTTTCTTTTACGAACTCAATCGAGTCGTAAAGGGTTCCACGGAGTTGAGTTGTTTTGGAAACAAAAAAAGTCGTATTGGGCCAAATCCGGTGAATACGTCGGTTGGTCGATGGTATTGAATGAGTTTTTGGTCTTAAAATCGTTTACAACTACAGCTCGGTGCGATGGCGTCTTATCGTCATGAAAAATTCACGTTTGTCCACAATTCCGGCCGTTTACGTCCTTTTTTTTTGAGCGAAGACGCCTCAAAACTCTCAAATAATACTCCCGTTGGAACGAATTAATGATGAACCAAACCACGGATACCATAAGTTTTTGAGGGTATATGTATTTGATTAATTAATAATGGTGAAAGCCTGGCAGAGACAGAGACGGTCAAGACATGATATAAAATATAAGCATTCCATAAAAAATTATTACACCATAATTAATTTTACAAGAACTCAAGCCGGCTGATCATCAACAACGTCGTGTCTTTGCTGATAGACTCTTGAAATGCAAGAAAATGATCTGTATGAATGCTACATCAATAAGCAAAACTGTGGTTCCTGGGGCTCGGAAAACCAAAGCTTTATTGTTGAAAAGTTGGATCATATTTATTCGAAAATGAATAGATTGAACAGCCCCTTTGAAATTTGGAATATTTCATGTAAAGTACACGGCCCTATAAGCTTAGTCGTGGCGACCAATTGGCTAATGTTTTCCGTTATTAATGTCATATTACATATTATTAATGTCTTTACATTGAATTAAATCTTCCGATCATTTATCTCAAATTACACCTCTTATTGGAAAACCCTGTATCACAAGACGCCTAATAATCTACCCCGCAAATTTGGTTGTTTAATAACCCCTGAGTGACTTCCATTCGATGATGATGCAGTACGATCGAAAGGTGACGGAATACGGTTTTACGGATATGACCTAGAAACGAAGGCTCAACAAACGTGGAGTGGAGGTATTCTGTGCTCTTCGAATTGAATGGCTTAGGGCATTATGAATGCTTGCGATCAGATAAAATGGTCCGTAAGGAGTACTACTACCGCAAGTTGAACGCTGTTTATGTGTAACAATGTGGATAAACGTCCGGATATATGTAAAAAAAAACTTGGCTGTTGTATCAGGATAAGGCACCTGTTCATACTTCATGGCTTGTGCGTGAGATTTTGGCCAAAACAATGCTGCAACATTTGCCCACGCCTTCCCCAGGACTGCCTTAGTGTGACATCTTTGATATTCCCAAAAGCAAAAAAAATATCAAAATGCCATCGTTTTACAGTCGTAAATGACATAAAAACGAATCGCTGAAAGAACTAGTGGTTGTCTAAAAGAATCATTCTGTGTAGTGTTTCAGAGAAAGGATGAAGCATAATCTGCACTGGGGACTATTTTGAAGGCGACAAGAGCAACGTTGACATAATAAAGTATTAAATAAATATTGTGTTACAAAAGTGAATTTTCCTTGAATTCACCTCACTCATAGTGCTTTTACAAACTAAGTAACAAGAAAAATATTATCGTGTGTTGTCATTTTGACAGAAGATGCTGGTCTAGAATTCATGTAATCATGAAATTGGATGATCTGTGACGAGGTTAACATTAAGCAAAAGTTCCGTAAATTTACACTCATCATTTTTATAGTTTTACTCATAAGATTTAATATATACAATGACGGATTTTCAAACTATTATCAATATATAAAAGTATTCTCTAGAATCTCGTAACCACACCATCCAGCAGCAGACGTATAGAACAAATGCGTATATGTATTGCATTGTATGGGAATTTCTCTTTCAGGAAATTTGAGAGATTGGCATTGCAAACACCAACAAATTGTATGCTATGAATGTTGGTTTTATTTTGGGTTAATCTAAATTTTTGTTGAATGTCCCTCAAAACCGCCATACTGGCATACCAGGAAATATGATTTATAATTTTTATATGATTAATACTTTATATTTTTAGTTTATGTATTGGTCATATTATTATTTTGAAACAACATATTTAACGATAATAATGAACACATGTACATACCTACATATGTATGTAACATTATATATTGCATTCGATTTAGTATTGATGCAGCAACTAAATTCTAATTAAAATATGTGTGTAATACGCTTTGCTAATGTGACATATTTCGCTTTTTTCCTCATTCATTTTTTTTTTTTAGTTTTTCATTAAAAATAACCAAAAAATATAATTGGCCAGCAAAAGAAAATAAGAAAAAAGTGATAATGATATTCGAAACGCTCCTCCATACGCATACAACAACACACATTGGCATGTAAAAAAATTCAATTTTATAATCATTTCCGATTGCAAAGTGCGCTCGATATTTGATTGAATTGAATTTGGTTTGCTTTGGCTTGATTTTCAAATAAACGGTACAAGGCGCACATCAAATCCACTTCCACAATCACTACCACCACCACCACCACCACCACCATCATCATCATATCATCACTATCGTCAACTCCAACTACTACTACTAGTACTGCTATTACTACGACAACAATTACTAAAAAGTACATCCTCAGCCACTAACTGTCCGCTCATCACTAAATTGAACATGCAAATATGTAATAGGTCACAGGACGCTGACGCATAATTCTTAATTGTCTACATCAAATAATCGTCCTCAAGATAGAGAAACTTGTTGTGCGTTTTTATTATCGGTGGCGTCCCGGCGTTGAATTTATACGCAATTATTATTTTGGGCATAAAAAAAGTCAACTTTATTGAGTTTAACAGTAGCTATTATATAGTAAAGAGCGCAACATAATGTCTTTGTGGAAGAGTGTCAGTCGCTTTCCAGAGCTGAAAAAGCGCATGACTGATTATTACGTTGTCAAGGGCTTCGCGGAGATACGCGAGCAATTTGCAGATTGGATTGAACAAGTTTTAATGTAAGTATCAACAGACGAAGAACTGCAAATGAAGAGGTGATTTCGTGTTTACTTTCGTGCAACTTTGAATTATAACAAGTATAAAAGCCCAAGAATTAATTTATAAATAAGTATTTAGTATTGAACACGTTGGCTACGAGACTGCAACAAGCGGCATCTGTCAAAATTAATGCATACACAACAGAGTAACACGATAAATGCAAAATGCTCTTGTCGTCAACATAAAGTAATATCCGATACGGTGATGGGTACATAAAAAGTTGATACTCAATATAAAAAAGTGTAAAAAAGTCTTATGTACTTACTGTAATATTTTGTAGTATCTATAATATAAACTAGAGGTCTACCGCGACTTCGTCGGCATGGAATTATAAGATGGTTCTAATAAATATTAGTGTAGGCAAGTATCCATCTATATATGTTCCAGATATCAAGCAAATCGAACTATGAATGCGATTCTTCGTACAGACCTCTGCATATTGTGATTGGCAAAGAGCCACCTACATAAGTTTCATATATTAGGTCAAGTAAAAAGTTCGTTCGGAATTTTTTTTTTTTTATTGATTTTTCAAATATGATAACTTAGTGTACATTTGTCCGATTTAAGTCAAATACGCGTCGTTTTGTTTGTAAACTTGTTGCCTACGAGATGACAGCTTCATTATACCCCTCTCATCCGAGCTCCTGGAGCTTCTGGCGCGTCACCAAAGGCGTGTGTGGCCTGGCGTTGTCCTGATGGAACGCAATTCGGCCTCTGTTGATCAAAGATGACCTCTTCTGGATGAGTGCTGCCTTCAAGCGGTCCATTTGTTGGCAGTAGGGGATTCCTTGCCTTGCCATGTGGTAGATGATTCCTTGCCAATTCCACCAAACACACAGTAAAACCTTGCTGGCCGTCAATCCGGTCTTGGCCACCGACTGGGCCGCTTCCCCGAGCTTTGACCACGACCGTTTGCGCTCGATATTGTCGTAAGTGATCCATAAAACTGAATCATCGTATCGGCCCAGGGCCACTTTCGGGAAGGAAATATTTTCCCAATAGTTATTCGAGCCCAAAGCTCAATTTAGGCAAAGAGTTACACCTGTGTACCAAATTTCATGTTAATCATTTCATTTTTTCGAACAGATCGCTCGCTAGTCGCCTTCCGGGAAAACTCTTTTTTATCGGGTGTATACGTCATATTCTGTGCACATCCTCAAAGTTTCAGGTCTCTACGTCATTCATCTATGTAGATAAAAAAACGAAGGTTATTGTTGTTGATTCGCATCCTTACCAGGCAAATAAATGTTTTTAGTCACTCAACCGCTAGGGAAAGTAGAAGTTGTCTGAACCCTTTTATGTCTCGTCTCATTTTTTAGGCACTAATATTAAGACTCTCTGAACAAATGATGAAAGCTCCGTCGATAACCGTTCAAAACATCGCTTATTTGAACCAATATTGGGTGTGCATGCTTGTATTGTGTGTGCATCATTTCTCCTTTTTTAAATTTATTTTATTGTTTTATCAAATAACTCAACTAGTTTTAGACCATTAAGTATTTCAAGGGGGCAAAAAGTTTGCTAATAATTCTTACGAAGTGTATAGTGTTTAAAATAAAATTTCAATTCAGAGTTATGTATGTAAATACTTTAAAATATTTTAAATATATTGTAATATTGTTTGCTATAAAAAAATCTTAAACAAATACCAACTTGTCATATATGTTTGTTTTGCAGAAACGACGAAGAATCTCGTACAGGCGAAAAACCGTTAGACCAACAAGCCAAATCATTCTACGAAGAACTGAAATTGAAAATTATTTCTCTGAGTGGAGATCATCTGTTGAAATATAAATTTCGTGATATTTGTACGCAATTTGCGCTATCACAACCATTCGAACTCTATACATACGTACGCAGCGGTATTCTTCAAGAATTACAGGCATTGAAGGACATGCCTCAAAACCCCTACATGTATAATCTTGTGGGTGGCAATGTGAATGGGGTAGGCATGAATACGGGCAATCCCTATTTGAGTGGCGTAGGCGGCCACCTAAATGATGTGCCTATGGCGGAGGAGGGTTATGGGTTGACAGCACGTATACAAAAGCTGGCAGTTGATATGGATAATATACGTGTGACGATACAAAGTTTCCAAAGTGAACAGGAATCCATATATACTTATTTTAGTGAATTGAATCAGACACGTGCAATGATGTCACCGCAAGAGGCCCAGGAGCATGATAATCAATTCAAGGATCAGTGCGTTATATTAAATGAACGTAGAAAGGCTCTTGTACTCGATTTGAGACGTGTTGTAAGCGAATACGATACCATACAAGATCAAGTGATAATGGCATTGAAAATGTGGCAACGTAACCAGGCGCTTGCTGGCAATGGTGCGCCATTCCTTGATAATTTAGATGACATACAACGCTGTGTGGAGATGTTGGTCGATATGATCGCTAAAATTCAAACGTTTGTTAGTAATCTACTTTTGATGGCTGACGATCCTATACTAACTGAGCTGTTGTCCCACGTACGTTCTGTGCAAAGAATGCTTGTTTTATCGTCGTTTATAGTGGAGCGACAGCCACCACAAGTAATGAAAACACATACAAGGTATTATACATTGAATTTAGAGAGGAAAGTTAGTTTAATAATATTTATAAAAAATTTTGTTTAAAAAATTGTAGATTTGCCGCTGCTGTTCGATGGCTCATTGGACCGCAACTTGGCCTATATACAAATAGTCCAAGTATAGAATGCGTTATACTTTCAGGTAAGATCGAAACGTCTTAAAACCAGACAACTATTAGGTTAAAGAATGAGACAAACGGCAGAGAACTATTTTATAAAACAAACCATTTAGTTTTTAATTAAGTATTCAAATATTTGTACTAGATTTGTAACAAAATTATTAGCGCTAAGATGATTAAAGTGAAAAAAATTATTAATTAATTAATATGATTATTATTATTTTTAGTAAACTCTTAGCTAAAAAATAATCCTAATAATAAGTTTTATTGATGCAAGTAATTTATTATTTTATTGTCTTTTTCTTTAAAGAGGCCCAAGCACAGCGACATGCCGCTCACAACAGCACTTCTGATATGCAGACATCTTCACCTCCACAATCTTCTGGTGAAATTTTAAATAATGTTAGCACAATGGAGTTCCAACAGGCTACACGAGTTCTTTCAGCAAGCTTTAGGTACGCATATATACATAAGATTACCTCTACCAGCTTAAAAAACGGAAATACTTACTTAGTAAATATTTTCATTTATATATTTACAGGAATATGCAATTGAAGAAAATTAAGCGCGCCGAAAAGAAAGGCACAGAAAGCGTTATGGATGAAAAATTTTCCCTACTTTTTTACACAACTGTTGTTTTCAATGAATTTAAGATTAGTGTAAATATTAACAACATATGTTTGTACAAATGTTTTTTTTTTTTTTAATCATACTATTTCTTTCTCTTATGTTATCTACACACACCTTTAGTGCTGGACACTCTCTTTGCCCGTTGTTGTTATTGTGCATGGTAATCAAGAACCGCAATCCTGGGCTACAATCACTTGGGATAATGCATTTTCGGATATAACACGTGAACCTTTTCAAGTACCAGAGAAAGTGCGCTGGGCACAATTATCGGTGGCATTGAATACCAAATTTGGTTCGGCAACAGGCAGAGGTTTAACCGAAGAAAATTTAAATTTCCTTTGTAAGTTACGTGCCTATTGGATTCTTGAAGGCGTATTAATAAATTTCATAAATTTCGTATATTTAGATGAGAAACTTTTCCGCAATGAAGCTGGCGAACACACCGAGTTTATAACATGGGCACAGTTTTGCAAGGAGCCGTTGCCAGATCGAACATTCACCTTCTGGGATTGGTTCTTTGCTATTATGAAATTAACAAAAGATCATCTACTGAATCTTTGGAAAGAGGGCTTGATTGTTGGTTTTATAAATAAGCGTAAAACTTTGGAAGAAATTTTACCAATGCAACAGTATGGCACATTTTTATTGCGTTTCTCAGACAGTGAATTGGGTATGTTATACTTTTTTTCATGTTTCAATTGCATATTGTTCACCAATCGAGTCATTGTTTTTTTACAGGTGGCATTACCGTGGCATTTGTTGATGATCAGGGTAATAAACTCATGTTGGCACCATGGACGTCACGCGATTTAAATATACGTTGCTTAGCGGATCGCATACACGATTTGAATGTTTTGCGTATCGTTTATCCAAAGAATATCCCACGTGACGAGGCATTCGCTAGTTTCTACTCACACCACGTTGGTAAATATCAAGTTCAAAGCAGAAAAAAATATTTGAAATATAGCGCCATCCTTGCTTAATTGAATAGTTAAAACTATAACAATATGATGGAATATAAACATGAAAACTTATCACTTAAATAAGCTTTTCTACATAAAAAATATGCGCAAAGTTTTTTGCTTTTCAATTTTATTAGCACATACTTGCATACTGATGCGAGTATACTACGTTATATTTATATACATATATTGCATTTATTGTCTCTGTTACCATTAAATGAAAGAACTATTCAAATGAGTTGGGGGAGTAGTGTAGCTATTTTAAATTTGTATGCAAACTAAGAAAATAAAAATTGATTCCAGAAGAACAAACAACACGTGATGGTTATGTTGCAAATACAATACGAGCACATGTACCGGCCATAGAGGGTGGTTCTGTTGCGGGCACGCCGCAGCATCAGCCTCAAGATATAACAATGCCAAAGTAAGTTTTTGTTATTGTTTTCTATAATCGATTTTTGCATTATTTATTCTATTAAATACATAGTTTCATACACTAATAATCAATTTCTTATTTCTTCTTTATAATTTATTGTAATTAAAATAATAATTGGTTGTTTTTTTTTACTATCCTTTTCATAGTTAAACTCTTTTTTTTTTTACTGTCCTCTTAATAGTAAAACTCTTTTTTTTTTTTTTAATTTTAATTAAACCTTTTTTTTCTCCTATTCATATACCAATTTTGTTGTCTAGTCATATGTGCTTCCGAGTAAACAGTTTTCTTTTGCGTGAAAAAAAAACAAAATTTTATAATTTCAATATTAGAGTACAGTCTTTCTATATACTTATTGGCCTTTATAAACGCATTTAGTTAGGGTATTGCGTTGAGTTGTATTTTAAGATGTTATTCGGCTTTTAACGTAGGTCATACAGCTACTAGAGCCACCTAAATATAAAATCTATACTTAGTATGGGCAATTTTAATGCTAGAATTGCTTATTAAGCAATAATAGAATTATCTAAAATTTTCTTATAATCTTCTTTAATTCGGCGTTAATGTGTATATGTATATGTACTTATTCCTCTGATTTGTAAAAGTTGCACTGACATTAGCTTTATTTAATGTACAGTAATGTTCATGGGTATAATATACCCGGAAACAACTGCAAAGTTCTGTTTCCTAGCCGCAATGACCCCGTGTTATACCAAAATTAAATTTTTCAACTAAATTCACAATTTCAAATTAACTGATTTTCCAAAGCAAATTTTTTTTAATGAAACTCACAAATCAATTTTATATATGTACATATCACCTTCGACTATAACTGTGATCTAATTCTTCACATATGACTTAGACAACGTATTGTGTTCAACCACTCTGTATAATTGCTCAAATTGTTTGATACTTTTATGTTTTTGCTTTTTATGTTGTATTTTCGCAACAAATCATTATAATTTTGGAACTATATATTTGTATTTTGCTTAAACCTTTTAACACTATCTCTATAAATGAACCTTGCTTTTGCTATATATTTGAGAACTAGATCGCAATACTTTGAAAATTAAGTATCTATCACCAGTTCAATTGAAAATTTTTTTGTGATAACGGAAATCAAGCTTTAAGATAAATGAATAATGAATGGTGCATTTTGCATTTTGCATTTGGATTATGTTACGTTTAATCAAAGCTTAAATGAGAGCAGTCAGCGCAGTTTCATTTCGTTAATTTGCGACTGTACTAATTTATAAAAATAAAATGTTGATATGTTTAACAGAAATAACAAACTAAGTTTATTTGTGCATAAGTATAATTGATTTATTCAATATAACTGAACACAATTTTATCTTTTATTTTTCTCCCGATTCTTCTGGCTGTTCAACAACTATATACTACTTTCAACTACGAATTAAATCAACTGTTTATCCTCATTACCTTTTACCTCTACTCTACACCAACACGACCCTATAAAAACTGATTGAAAAAAAAAAACAACTATTCTCTATTCACCTATTGTGTGTTATTCTGTCGGTAGTTATGAGATGTTTGACATCGATTGGAATAACGTAATCTGAAATGGGTGGGCTGAAGACCAAGTATAAGTAATTGGTATCATGAAGGGTCGTCTATTGTTTAGTGTGCAGTGCAACACGCATATTGTGTGTGCTCAATAAAAACTCGTAAGCAGGTATTTTTTGCTTAACAATTTAATTTAAAATTGATTTGGTATTTCATTTTTGTTTACTGTTTTGTTCTGCAATACAAAATATTGCACTAATGTTTTGGAATGTGGTACAATGTGCTGTTATGTTTTTTTTTTTTTCTCTTATAAATACAATTAATTTTCCATATTAATCAAAGCAATTTGCAGCGTGCGAAATCACAGCCATTCAGCCGTATATTTAGCCAAACAATGCAAGTCACCACTCGAAACTTCATCGCTGCATTTATGACTTACTAACTGTTTTTTCTTCTTTATTTAGTTATAAAATATACGCATTTGGTTAACATAGTTTAATAATTTTTGGAAGTTGATGGTCAATTCAAGGGGTATATACAATACATATATATATAAATTTAATTATGCTGCTTAGACAATATGGCAATAAATGAAAAGGGATGCTGTTCATTGCAATCGACTGTACAAACGTTTTTTGTAATTGTAAAATACTGGTTACTTAATACTGAAATTCTTGATCAAAATCTAATTTGTACATATTTTTTGGTTACCACAGTTAAAAAAAAAAAAAAAATAAGTACCCTTTTTTCACTTTTTCTAGGAGCTTCATGCAATTATGATGTCCTAACACTTAACACTTTCTTTAAAAAATAATCACTAATTCATGGATATGTGACTTACGTACGTACATATTTACTGTCTGTGTTGTCTTGTTGTTCATTTACGTAGTTCCTTCATGTTCATGTAGGTCTTTTAATAGGGTTCATGACATACTTCACATATATCACTATAGAAAAATATTTTAATTAAAATCGATATTCATTTCTGATATTATTGCTTGGTACATTAATGCGGCGGAGTTAACGTGGTCGTCGTCGTTGTACTTTCCATTTTTCACTCATTATCATAAACATTGTTGATGCTATTTTTTTCTTTGCTACTGTATTGCTAAGCGCAATAACAGTGCCAAATATAGCAAAAAGGATCGAAAAAAGTATTGCCATCTATATCAATTGATATAATATTAACCAATTTAAGTCACTTTTATAAGCTCACGTTATCCTGGTTATCAAGTTGTAAAAGAGAATGAACCGTTGTTCAGTAGATAACCGGCTTATTTCCAGATATGAGAATTTTATTGCTGCCGTCCTTGATAACCCGATAACTTGGGTAACGTGAATAAACTAATTTTTAAATGCTTACACGTATGTAGATAGCTACATTATGACAAAAAATATATACATACATTTTTTATATATAGAAAAAATACATAATAAATATTTTTATGAAAAATTATATAATACAATTTTTTATGAAAAAATATATAATTAATTTTTCTTTGATGGTAACGCGTATAATTGCTTTTTTTTATAAAGAAATATAGTTTATTTTTTATTATAAAAAATTTATAATTATATTTTTTATACAAAAAATAAATAATTTCTTTATTTTTAATTTATAATTAATTTAAAAAAAATATGTATATAATTATTTTTTCTTTTAAAAAAATATATAATTATTTATTCTTATAAAAAAATATATAATGAAGTTATTTTTATAAAAAATATATAATTGAGTTTTTTTATAAAAAAAATATATAATTGAGTTTTTTTTAATATATATATAATTTTTTTTAAATATATAATTTTTTTTAAATATATAATTTTTTTTTAAATATATATAATTACCTTTTTTAATTAATAATTATTATAAGAAAATATATAATTATTTCTTCTTATAAAAAAATATATTAGAATTTTTTATAAAAAACTATATATAATTAATTATTTTTTTTTTTGTAAAAAAAAAAATGCCATATTATATTTACAATAAATTTTTGCTTACATTTATTTAGATCGCAGAGTAACACCTTAATGCATCTTTGAGTACGCACACTTTTTAAAACCACCTACTTGTAAATTGAAACAAATTGAAAAGAAATTTATTCAAATCGATTTGAACCCATCATTTGGCAAACATTTATTAATATATAGTATATATATATAATATGAAAAAGATAGTATGCAGCGTAAGAGAGAAAGGATTGATTAAATTTTAAATACACATACATACACATTTTCGTTTAAACATCGAAGCACGAACAATTAAAAAGAAAAATAAGAATTCATATTTTTCGAAGCACAATTTTATCCGTCATAATTCTACTTAAGAGAATAAATCACATAAAAAAAAGATGTGCACACTTATTGTATACATACAAAAATGTTTATTCATGTACGTACATATATGAATGTGAATAGTTCTTGTTGCTCATTAGCGACTCAAATATGTAATATCAATAAAGAGAAATGTTTGAAATAACTGTGAAATATGCAATTTCCATTGTGAACTTAAAAAGAAAATAAATAAACAATCAACACATAAATACATCTATATATATGTATACTGAAATGAAATATGATTGTCCTGTGCTTTTGCCACTTCATCGCTGTGCTGTTTAAATGTTTTATGTATGTATGAGGCGTGATTATTGTCTCATACTTAATAACTATGGTTGCCTGTTTAAATTTATATGTACATATATGTGTATCTGATATTGGGATATGCACGCACGAAATTAGTGTTAATGTAAAATAAAACCAAATATTTTTGTTGTATGTTTTTTCTTTTTTGCTTTGCTTCTCTTCAACTGCTTGCTTCAAATGTATGCAATTAATTTATATTTGTATGTAGTGTTGAATCTTATTTTCCATTAACGACTTACAAACACACTTAACTTACTGTATTTTATTTATATATATATTTAATTTATATTAATCAATATTTTGTTTTTTTTTCACTGATTTTTTCCCCTCTCAGTTTTAGTGACTTTGATTCAATTTTATATTGATGGATGGAAACATATACACGGTGCTTATACACAACCACAAAACACACCATAAACTAAAATGAAAGCAAGACAAAGTAAAGTAAAAAACATAATTATACTATAAATATTTCAACAAAATGCCATACTATAAGAGAAGACTTTTTGGCTAAAGAATGCAGCTTTGTTATTGAATGTTTGGCCTTTACATTATTACATACATACTCATTTGCAAACTGTCAGGCATAGCTATCAACACGAAACTGCTTACCAATTTAACTGGGCATGTGCGAAATGCGAAAAAATTGTTAAGAACAGAATATTTGCAAAACTGACGAAGAATGTGAAATATGTTCCTGTGAAATATAGCAACGGAAAAAAAATTATAAGCGTGGTATGTACACTCGTGAGCTCTCGTTTTTTTTTTTAGTTTTAAGTATGCCTAATTTTATTTTGTATTTTGAGTAGTAAAACGCAAAATATGTAAAACCAGTGGCAAATAATTTAGAGCGCTCTTAATTAACGCCTGCCTAATATAGACTGGATAGCGAAAATATTTGCGCTATAAAGATTAAATAGTGTAATAGAAGAGCCTGTGATATGATTTCCTAACTGCGTTTTCATATACGCCGAATTTCATTCACTTTTAAATAACACAATTTTGTTTTTATATCTTTGTTTTTACAATAGTTTTGTAGTAAATTCAATGATCTACTCAAACAGTAATGAGTGAATATAGTAGAGCGCTAGATAACCGTTTATTGTGCAGCTCGATACGCGTTCATTGCTAAACTGCTCGAATATATTTGAACATGATGATGATTTTAATGAATAGAAAAAATACCTTACGGAATTTAGAAAGAAATAAGGTGCTGCTCACTATTAGGAGTATTAAGTGTAATAGATGACGATGATATTGCTACAATAGTAAATCTACATACATATATATACATTCTTATGATTACTAATTTTTCTGTATGAAAAAAAAAAGAAATTAATAAATATATATATGTATGTATATATGTGTATATACATACATATATCACAATGCAACTTAGAGAGTGGAAAAGTGTTTGTTTAAATATACATACATATATTTCCATACACAATAAATTGCACTTGTATCTGATGACCTGACCCGACCTGAACAGCAAGACATGGTTGTCTTTTTGTTAATAAAATAGTTGTAATAATGTACGTCACGAATTTACACATACGAATTTAGCCAAGCGCTCAAACAATTTTAAATTGATGTTATACATATACATACATACGAGTATACTACATATACATACATATATTATACATGTGTCTTTTTACTTAAATGAAATATATCTAGTTAATATGAATGTTATTTAAATATTTAAATAAATTTTAAATGTTGTATTGAAATAAAGATTTTAAACATAATTGATTATAAAAAGATATAAGATTAAGATATATAAATGTCGATGTGTGCGCTGAATGTATATATGTGTGTATGTATGTATGTGCATGTAAACAGTTTTAATCCATGTTTTATTTGATTTTATTTAATATTTTTTTTTTGTTATTTCTACTTTCAGCGTGTTTACTTACAACATACATGTTGCAAAGCAATGCCAATTGCATATAAAAAACCTTGAATATATACCGTTATGCATGCTGTGTCTGTCGCCTTTGAAACTACATACATATATTTACAAAAAAAAAAAAAAAAAAAAAAAAAAAAGAAACTCTAGATGGTGTCTCCCAAAACTTTTTTTGTTTTTTTTTTTAGTAGTTCTCACTATTGCTCCTCTTATTGCGCGTAGTGGTTATTATTGCATAGTTTGAAAAGTTGAAAAAGGAAAATAGTAAATGTAATATTTTTATACTCGTCGTTGCCTTATATAGTTATATTAATTACATTCACTTTTGTTTGTTTTTTAATATACTCTATTTTGATAATAAAAAAAAAAACCATCTTCTTCGATGTATGTATGTATCTGTACTAGTCTAGTTCATTACTATTAAAAGTACTACAATTAAATAGTTGGCTTTTTGGTGTGTTGTTTGTGGTTTAATTAAAAGAAATGTGAAAAAGTGCAAGAATTTTCGTTTCGTTTTTAATGCATGCCTGCCGATAAAAAAAGAGTGCAAATAAAATGTTTCTATCTCTATCATGTCTCTGATATTGAAATTAAATTATAAACCCAAAAAAAAAAAAAAAATTGAGAAAAAAATATTATCAACAACAATTGGAAATGCAAAAGCAAAAGAAAAGAATATATAAGCAAGCAAGTAAATAATAAAAAAAAAATCACAAACGTTTATACAAGTCAATATATATACGTAAAATGTTTGATAATAACTGTGCGTATTTTTAAGTATAATTATTTTAAGTAATTAATTTCAAGCAAACGTCTAATATTATGAACACAAAAAAAAATTGAACTATTCATTGTATTTTTTTTTTTTAATGTAAAATGTGTAAATGCGTAAATATATTTACACAGTTCTTTTTTTTAGTACTAAACAGTGCCGTTCGGTTTTCTTTTTCTTCTTTGAATAGCAAAGCAGTTATACTAAATTCCTTACTTTTTCTTTTATCGTATCATCGCTGAAAAACAAGCGTTTAATTTCCCTTCTTATGTGTTTGTGTTAGTGTATATAGCTTTGAAGTTTTATTTTTTCCTCCTTTTGTAACACATTATTTTATTTTTATTGGTAGAGACAAAACTGAATTCGGCCTTAAGTATTTTCTAAATTGAGATGTTCAAAATTAAAATTGTAAAGCAGTATTTATGTATTGTTTACTTATTTATTATTACTATTTTTTTTTTAGTTTTCTTTTCTCTTGTATTGGTTAGTTTTGTATTTTTTTACATGTATATATATATATATTTTGAATTTTTTCTAAACTATCCAACTACTGTTTCAATATTATTTTTTTTTTTAGTACTTATCTACTTCTTAGATATACATATATAAATTTTAAGTAAATCAAAAAAAAACCCTCTATATTTGTAAACAAATGTGCATTACACTTGATTTGAAACGAATAATGAAGTTAATGATTTGTGATTCCTCATTGAAAAAATATAATAAAATTGGCTTCCATTGCATTTCTGTAAGATTTTTTTTTTTTATTAAGTTGATTTGCTGTTAAGTTTGTGGAAAGAATTAATTGAATGTACGTTATACGGTTAAGAGTAAGCATAAGCCTAAGTATAAATTTTTTGTAAAGAATGAAAATTGGAATATTTTTGCTTTGAATGTGTTAAAAGGTAACCCAATTTACGCTGATGTCAGATCATGACGTAAATATTTTTAAGGTTAGGAAAGGATTACAAATTCGTAACGTATGCATACATATAAGTAGTATATGTATATTCATCTGTGAAGTTAGCGGCATTAATATTCGTTTTACGAGCTGTGCTATCTTTAAACAAACACATATTTAAATTTTGAAATCGATGTGATAATGAGAGCCAAATTGCAAACACTTGGCGCAATATATTGTAGATCGTATGATCGTATAGAATCATATATTATTAGAAAAAAAAAATAAAAATAAATAAACATTGCCACAATGGATGCCGCAAAATAAAGCGAATATTGATGTTGCTAACTGTTTGAATGCATAACACATATATACATATACATATGCATACAGAAGCAGATACTATCGCATGCAGAGTCATTTATATAATATTTATATGTGCGTATCTACAATATTTATGTAAGTTTAATGCATATATACAAAATAATAAAATTTTACTATAAACATTAAACAAAAAAAAAAACATTTTAAAGAAATGTATGTGAAGATAGAAAATTAACTAAATCAATGGTTTATTAGAAATGAAAGCTATTTACAAAAACGTAAACTGAAAACTAGTTTTATCAAGAGCATAAATTGTGAATTTGTAACTGTGTAACATTTGAAATGTTGTTACGTCATCATCAGCCAATCGTACTAACATACATTGTGGCGCAATTAACGCTTCATACAATTCGGATTGCAGCCGAGGAAACAGAAATAAACAAACTTTTAAATATACCAACTTGACTATTGAAGATTAAAGAAAAATAAGGAAAAGAGAAGAAAGAACAAAGCGGTCAACTGTCACATTTGTTCCGCGCCTGGTCGTACTGCAATTAGAGAGCAATTAAATAAACATTTGCTACTCAATACGAGCAGTTAATTTTTCGTATTTGTATACATTCATACATACATATGCAAAAAAAACTTTAAAATTTTGTATTCATGTATAATCTATGAACCTCCGCAACAGATTTCCTACTACTATTTTTCAGAAACGTGTTTTTTTTAACTCTATTAAATATCAATTTATCAAATATACAATTTTTACGTGAAATGCATGCTTACAAACATAATAATAATGTTGAATTAAAAAAAAAGAAAAAAAGAAAATACATCGAAACAAGTGAAATTAAATTTTATTGACGAACAACAGTAACAATATCATTGCACAAGTGCACACATACACCTACATTTACACACAAATGGCTACATATGTATGCGAAAATTCTTGTAGTTGCGAATTAAATGTAACTAACTGCAAAATTTATTTACAATAAAAAAATAAATTAACAATAATTATGTTAATAATAAAGAGAATGAGCTAAATTTGTGTAATAGACGTTTTAAAACGGTTCGTTGTCGATTTGACAGGACCAGTTACATTTATCGATTATCAATAAACGTAAAATAAAATAAAAATAATAAATAATAAATGTTTTTTTATTTATCTTTGAAAATGGATGAGAGAAACCATCGGTATCAGCTCAAGTATTTATCTGACATCTATATAAATGGATCAGTACTGATGAAAAGTGTAATAGATAAATATCACCCAAACATACAAACTTAATACATCCGCCTTTTTAAGGCGCTCCGTCTCTGCAGGAAATCTCCGTATGGAGCTTGGTTATTGCTGATGGCCCACTATGTATGTATATATGTATGTATGTCAGAGCTGATTGTAAGAAACCTATTGCCTGCCATCCTTTTCACTTTTTACAGCTAATATTCACTTGTACAAAAGCTTTCTGGTGGCAACTTCATTGGTCTTTTAAGCCGGTCTCCGAGTTTGTGCTTGGATTAGGTGGAGGTGTGGGATAAAAATGTTGCCGGACAGTTATAATGGTCCGGAAGTTCTGAAGTTCTGATAAAAATCAAACAAAATGTTGGAATCAAATTTAGATGGGTAGTAGAGTTCATTACAGTGCAAAGGAGAGGAGAGTTATTCGATAGCTCCGAAATAAAGCAAAAATGTATAAATTCATTGCCAGATGCAAATGCTGCGGAACCAGAAATAGCAGTTGAAACGCATTTAACACCAAAAAAAAAACGACAATCGACTCCAAACATTATCAGCACAATTTCAAATGAAAATCCATTTTCGCTCTTCTATCATAAATAAAAAAATTTCAACATTCCGCGAGAGTTTACTTTACAAAGAAGTTTTGTGGGAGTTTTTATGAAAAAATGTAAGCATTTCATAACTAAAACGCAAAAAATAATATTAATGGTTTCGGCATAAGTGCAGAATACTGACCGTTAAGGTAGAATAAAATGAATTAATGATCGTGGTCCGCTCTAATTTCAGAATTTTAATGATATACATTTTTTTGGACATACTTTTATTTTCATAGATATGGGGGAACGAATTTTCGAAAATTTTACAAATTTGGTATCCTTGGAAAGGTGACTAAAATTCCTATTTCTTTTGATGTATGAGGTTTGGCAATTAAATAAAGACACTGATTTATTTGCCGCGATTGAAATTCCCTTTTCCTTCTCCCGACATCCTTTTCTTCTCCATTGATATATTTGCCATCACTCTAGCTTTTTTAGTTCGCCTGCTGTGTCGGGTTGAGTAAACGTGTGTTCGTGGCGTACGTCACGAAAATGGAAAAACGAAATCAAGAGCAACGCATCGCCATAAAATTTTGCGCCAAATCGGGCGAAACAGCTTCGGAAACGTACAGTAAAATTGTAAAAGTGCAAGGTGATAGTACTCTTAGTACTGCTCAGGTGTTTCGATGGCATAAAAAGTTTCAGGAGGGTCGTGAAAATGTGGAAAACGAGGCGTGGAAAACAATAAATATTGCCTCTTTTGATTGCCGTGGAATCGTCCACAAAGAATTTCTTTCATCGGGGTAAATCGTAAATCAAGTCTACTGTCGCTAAGTACTCTAAAGATTCCGAAAACGAGTCAACAGGGTGCGCCCAGACATCGCTCGTAACTGGAGCCCTCATCACGACAACTCCCGTGTCACACCGCCCTCAGCGTGTCCCAGTATTTGGCCTCTAATCGCCGTGTTGCAACAACCGCCTTATTGGCCCGGTATGCCACCCTGTAACTTTTTTTGTACGCTAGAATAAAATCGGTGGTCAAAGGAACCCAATTTGAGTCCATAGAGGACATCCAGGCGGCCGTGAGGAGAGTACTCACGGACATTCTAGTCGTTCCAGAAATGTTACGAAGCATGGAAAACGCACTAGAATTGTTGTATAGCTGACCATGGGGACTACTATGAAGGGGATGGCATAATTTCGATATGTACGATTTTAATGGAATCAATCTCATTACTTTATTTGTCACACTTCGTATATATCTTTTTACTTTTCGAATATAAATTTAGAAAAAATTCCGTAACAAAAAAAAAAGAATAATACAATTTTTTTTTAAGAAAAAGCAGTTTTTCTTCAAATTTTTTGTATTAAATAAAACATAAAAAATATTAATTAAAAAGAACATAAAAATAATTTTGCTTTGGTGTATCACACTTTGTTGTTACTTTCCATACTCATATTCGTAAATTTGCTTAATTTGCAAAAGCGGTTCACTCTAGAATACTGCGCAAGACGAAGCCAGCCGGTGTTTGTTCGGCCCAGGGTTATTTTTATGATCGAAGGTCGCAAAAATGTTACTTTATGGTCTTATTGAAACAACATTAAAAGGTATTTTCTTCCTTTTTTTATTTCTGATGGTTTAGCTAATCTCTAGTAATTTAAAAAAAATTGATTTTATATATTTTTTGTTGGATTTTCTTAAAATTTATCTTCAGAAAGTCAAGACATCAAAAAAAAAAGAAGGAATTTATCTTTTGAACGATAATAAGTTTTAAAAATTCGGTGTACAACTTTTCAAAATATAGCGTTTTATAATTTTCGAAAACTCCCCCTTCGCCCCTCCCCATATTTACGAATATAAAAGTTTAAAAAAAAAATTATAGAATCAAAATCAGGAAAATAGGGCGGACCACACTCACACTTTAACGGTCTGTATTCTAATTTATTTATTTTTTATAAGATTTATTTATTTCACCAAATTATCGGATATCAATAATACACAATAATACTAAGCTGCTGATTTTGAAAGAATCAGAATTGACGAATTTTCTCTTAAGGGATTTCTAAATCCGCAAGGCAGAATTCACGCGAAAGTATTTAGAATCGGACTGTATATAGAGCGGAATGAAACTTTCGTCCCACGAAATGAAAGAAGTTTAATGTGTGTATGGACATATATATAATTGGTGCTTTGTAAACACTAAAGCGTTTTCCGGCCGAGCGTCCTAATGCTTTCCAACAAATGGAGGGATCTACAGTTTATTTTAAGGCCACCACCGGACGGCCGACAGATTTTTATAAAAAGCTTTTATTTCATGTCGGAAATACACTCGTATGGCTTGCCATTCCCTTTCGAAGAGCGACCGCAATTAGAAAGATTAATTAGCTATAATTTTGGATCTTGATCGTACGAGAACTCGAACCCTGGTCCTCAGAATGGCGTAGGTAATACTAACTACCCGGCTATTGCGATCGCCGTTAAATGTTAGATTCCTGGAAAAAAACTGAGATATACGGGTTTTCTGTAAATAGATGTGACTAGTTTTCGTGCTCGGCTTAGGTGTATGTTCGTTACCACGAAACGATGGATATCTATAAACCTTTGTTGCAACCAATAATGCAATCATGCTAAGCATTCAACTGTATGAAATCACTCCGCTGAATTGGGCATATTGCAAACGAAGAACTCGATCCATCCTGAGGGACACGATACTGGATATTTGAGTCGCCTTAATTCCTACATATCCCCCCGACGTATGCATAACTTGCATACAATGAGACTCCGCACGACACTAACTATCTCTTTGTCATTCAACGAAGCAGCTCGTTTTCTGGACTTTTGTTAACGATCGCGATGACTTAGATGAGAGTCACCTGCTTCGCAACAACAGCTACATATGTATGTGATATCATCGCCAGATCTCTATGGAAAACCTCTGGAAAACTTCAAATGCCGTTGGCTGGATCAAATCATCAGCATTTTTGGTACCAAAAATCTTCCTATGGCCAGGAACCCATGTCAATGCGATGACAAGTTCAACCGTCAACGAAACGAGCTCAGAACATAAATTCCGCCTGGCTACCGCCTGGCTAAAAAGGAATATCATTAAATTCGTTTTTCGCTGCGCATGTGTGCAAACTTCGTAAGGCTCCGTCTCCAATTTCACTGAATGTAGAAGTAAACAGCCCTGATATCATCAACACGAGATCGTCTGCTTATGCTACCACTTTTACTGCCTCTCCGTTGAGTTCAAATTCAAAGGAGTGGGGACAAAACAGTCCCTTTACAAGATCATTGACTCTGCTCTGACAAAATATGCATGAAGCGCGCACCAACAATACAATAATACAACTAGCAGCCTACTCTTTTTCAAACAAAAAAAAGAGCGGCCGATAAATAAGGCCATCGACAATATGCAGTGAGAATACCATCGTATTTTCAAGTTCTCAGAAGAAATTAGAGCGAACGAAAGACGAGAAACTTGTGTAGCTCCAAAAAACCCACACCCACATACAATGGACTTATGTGCTTCCCTAAAGGCTCAAGTGTCGTCAATTACGTTTGGATCCTTAAGATCTACTAACCAATCAACCAACATAATTATCTTAATCGTATCGAATCTTTTTTACTTGTCTGTGCGCTGTGCTTAAAATCAAAAAACAAATATTTACTCGCTTATGTTTATGTTATCGAAAGATTTGTCTTATTTGCGAACGGATGTTTATTTTAAATAACAACAATAGATTGCAAATAAACAAATTTAAAAGAGCGGAGGGCGTTCGGTGTGACAATGTAGGTGCACTGTCCGGTTGGGAGAAGCTCTTGCACCCACTACTGTTCGCTGTGGCATATCTGAGAAAGTCCTGTCTATAAAAAACAAAAACAAACTATATCTGGACAGGAAACTGGAAGCTGGATAGAAAGATAGAACTTTTTAGTAAGGTTCAATGAACAACGTAGATGTACATTAATGGTGCGCTTAGAACCACTACAACGGAAGATCGAAAAGTAAACCTTGACCACCTGCCTATAGAATGAACAGTATATCAGTGGAGCTGTTTACCATCACAGGGGGGATTTATAATATTTTTACGGAGTAGCACGTACCCACTACGTTTCCACTTTGTATACACGAAACAATTGTCTGTCACTGCAACCCGGCGGGGAAGAATTTGCAAAAAAAAAAATCAAACTTTTGCTGAAAATATTGAAGTTTACACAAACGGTTCAAAACTTGATGTGAGATGAGGTATCTTTTTTACGTAACCTTACCCTGGAACTCTCATTAAAGCTACCAGATCATAACATGCATAAATCTCTGCTATTATGGAAACTGTTAAACATCTTGAAAACGAATACTCACGAAGTGACATATTTATTATCAGTGATAGAAAATGATAGATGGTTGGAAAAACTGTCGGCTTGTTAACGACAAACGCTAGAGATGGACTGCACTGCAAAATTCTGCTCAGAAGAAAATACTATTCCTCGCCTGGGCCTCTGATCACAGATATATAGAGGAAACCAAGCAGATTCTTCCGGTTGGTACGCCTCAAGCAACATGCTAATTACTATTAAGGAAATATTTTCACAGACAGGTTGTGTTAAAGTCACAAACCACGCTTGGAACGGGAGAAGATCAATAGTGTATATTCTCCCAAAAGGAGAACACCTCAAATGAATACGCTGTAGGAGCTGCTGGAATCACGAGTTTAAGTGGCTGGAAAAGGAGACGGAGACGGAGCGTCATATCAAACTTTTCAGGCATCACAATGAGACTTTTTTGGTCTAAGTGTGCCGAAGTACATATCAGCAGCCATTCCTACTAACTTATCTTTGTAACTACGCCTGAAGAAAGAAATTACCATTTCTATGCTAAGAATCATTTCGACCTATGAAGATCTTTCGACCTAGGAAGATCCTTCGACCATCTTTTGGACTCCTCTTGTATGCACTCGGCTAATATAATATAAGGTTGAATGGAAGATCCTGTGGATTTAAAAAAACACAACAAAAGATGAAGTGAAGTTTACTTGTCAGTAATACCTCCTCTGGGAAGGACATTTAGGTTTAGGCTTTAGGTCTATTTGTGATATTTTTGTGTCCAATCAGGTATAGTTCATTTTCTCATGAATTTCAAGGTGATACCACAAACTCTTTTGTATACAAATTCATATGTAATAAAGCTATTCATTTTCACACCATTAGCGTAGCCCTCGCTGCTGCCGCTGCCGTTGCCGTTGGTTTCAACGACAATGCGACTTTAGTTAAATTCGCAACAACGCCCACGCCTCACCTTTCGGCGTCTCTCCAACATTCGGAGCAATTATCAAACAAAAACATTGTTGACATCGTCTTCGCAGAAACAGGCATTCGGTGTTGGAGCCGATGTTCGTAGTGTGTGTTTATGTGAATTGTGTGGAAAGTGTGGCAGCGGTGGCAGCTACAGTGTGCCAGCGTTGGGTGCGATTCGCTGCATTGACATTTGAGCGCTGTTGGCAAAATAAAGCAAACGAATACAAATAAACAGTAAAATGAACATACAATACATACACACTCTGCACTCCGTCGCTGGGACATCGCTTTTTCACTTAGCCGGCATTGGGATTGCTAGTTTTTTTTTGGTTTTGCGCTGTCAAAGGTATGGGCAGATGGATTTTCCAACGCTTTCAGCTCGCTAGATTAATTTTCGCTTTCGACAACAATTGTTGTCGGCTGTCGTCGGCGGACGTTTTGTGTGTTTCGTATACAAAATATTGAGTTGGGTTTTCCCATTTGTGACGTAGAAAACTGTTAGTTAAGTTCATAGGCTCTGTGTATCAAGTGAAGTGGAAGGAAAGTGGAAAGAAAGTGGAAGGAAAGTGCAAGTGAAGAGTAAGTTTTATGTTTATGATTTTGCCCTAATCTGCTTCCGTTTCTTTTTTCCGCTCTTCGTGTTTCTGATTTTTAACTTTCTTTTTTGTTTTTTCTTACTTTTTGGTGCTCTCCGCTACTTTTGGCGCTACGAAAAATATTATGATGTTTGGTTTCATCTAGTGCGTCAGATAAAATCGATATTACGATTTGTCAGGCAATTTTTAAGCGATGAATTTTATTCGTAAGTAAATTTTTATTTTTATCTTATTTTCATACTACTTACCAATGATGTTTTGAGTTCTTTCGACTGGTTATTATTACGTCCTGGGATACGGAAGGTTATGTGTGGGAATCTTGGATGGCCAGGATATGAGTTCTGATCAACCATCATAAATTAAAGAGAATCGCCCCTCGGCAGGGCACGTCAGACCCCCCTATTGTATTTCTGATATGAAATATTATAAAAGCTTTTCATAAAAATCTATCGGTCGTTCGGTGGAGGCTTAGAATAAACTGTAGGTCCTTCTATTTGTATGAAAAACGTCAAGTCACAAACCATAAATTTTTGAGGAGAAGCTCGATTGAAAATCCTTTCGTCAAAGCGCTGACTATTATATATATTTCTGTCGTTGGATAAAAGTCTCTCATAAAGAATATTAAGCATCTTCTCTCTAACGGCACTTACTTCATGAAATGACGAGTTATGTCTAGCTTTTTGGCTACTCCCGTTACTGTAAACGCGGAAACTCGAGATAACTGGATAAAACTTGATACACAATTTTCAAAATGGAAGCGAAGAGTAAACAGAAACGACTACTCTTTTCCAACTCTCTCTCGTAAGTTTGGAACATAATTGGCGCTTTGTTACCGCTGAAGCGATTTTCCGCCCTGTCGAGCTGCGACTTAATTTTTTGTTTAAATTAATTTTTTTTATAGCTTTTTTATGTTGGTCACACGGCGATTCGAGCCCGAGCCTTCCGAATGGCAGTACGCAATGCTAACCACTCGGCCATCGCGGTCGCATCTCCAATAACATCTCTAATAGTTCTCCTAAACCGTTTTGCATTCGTAAAAAGGCAAGTGTTTGGAAGGGGCAAGTTCTGAAGATTACCTCACATTTCGACATTTCCAGATAGTTTTAACCGCTAGAGCTGCTTTGAGCATAGCATGATCATTGCCTTTTGGTCGCCAGTAACGACATTACTCACGAAGAGCATGGCTCGAACGGGTTAGTTCTAGGCGATAACGTTTCGCATCAAAAGTTTCGTTAGCGCGGATCTTGATCCAGTAAGCCTTAGATTGCTCATATTAAAATTTTTTGAAATGGCCAGGACGATCTTTGTCTTCGACGCTAAAAATCCTACTTTTGAAGCATCGAAATCACTCTCTACATGACTGATCGCTTGGCACAGCTTCCTCGTAAACTTCCACTTTTCATCCAGTTGAAATAGAAAATCGAAACTTCCCATAAATACTGATTCTCTAACACAAATCCTGACATTTTTGAGGAAGCAAAAAACATTGTTGTTGGCAGAAACAGATGTCGTTTACGCACACTGATTATTGTTGACTGATAGCAAACTTTTCCCATGACTTAGATAATCGCCTCCAAGAACCGCCATAACGTGCAGATGTAACCATCTCTTGAGAACCGACCGAATTACATATATGTGTATAAGATTGGAACGATTGAGCTCTTTCTCTAATTTGTGCTGTGCCTCTGTTTTTTCCCAGCAGCGAGGGGTTGATCCACAATTTTTTTAAGCCACCTCCTAACGGCTAACGGATTTACAGTTGCGTCCAACTATTTAACAACAACTTGTCCCTATAGATTATATGATTATATTTTCCGTAAAATTATTAAGTGTAAACATGAAATTTTTTTTTAAATTCTCTTCTATGAAAAAAATTGTTTTTGAGGACATTTTTTCTACAATTTTGGTTATTGTTTTGGTTAGTATTCGAATCCAGTTTAACATTTGTACCTTGCCATTTTCATCTTTTCAGTTTTTATGTTACTTTCATAAAACAAAAAGCTTTTGTAAAAAAAATTTTATAAAAAAAATAAAACGTTAAGCATTTAAAAAAAATATACATATATAAGATTGTCAAATATCTCCCTTCCGCTTTTTTGTCTTTTGAATTTCGCGGAACATAAACATGGAATTCCCTAACGCCGAAATTCGCGCTATTTTAAAGTTTTCCTTCGTTAAAGGCAAATCCGCTAGAGATACGTTCCGTGAGATTAATGGTGTTTTGGGGGATGGTACTCTATCATTTCGAACCGCGGAGGAATTGTTTCGACGATTCAGAGCCGGTGAAAACGACACCATGGATAAGCCAGCCGGCGGAAACCTGTGACGACAAATACCGATCAAATCATGGAATACATCGAGTTAGACCGGCATATGGCATCTCGTGACATCGCCCAGGAGATGGGAGTTAGTCACCAAACCATTTTGAACCATCTGCAGGAGGCTGGATGCAAAAAAAAGTTTGATGTTTGGGTGCCGCATAATTTGACGCAAAAAAACCTTCTGAACCGAATCAACGCCTGCGATATGCTGCTGAAACGGAACGAACTCGACCCATTCTTGAAGCGGATGGTAACTGGCGGCGAAAAATGGATCACATACGACAATATCAAGCGAAAACGGTCGTGGTCGAAGGCCGGTGAATCGTCCTAAACAGTGGTCAAGCCGGGATTGACGGCCAGGAAGGTTTTGCTGTGTGTTTGGTGGGATTGGAAGGGAATCATCCACTATGAGCTGCTCCCATATGGCCAGATGCTTAATTCTACCATCTACTGCGAACAACTGGACCGCTTGAACTGGCGATCGACCAGAAGAATCTAGAATTGGTCAACAGGAAGGGTGTTGTGTTCCACCTGGACAACGCCAGACCACACACTTCGTTGATGACTCGTCAGAAGCTACGGGAGCTCGGATGGGAGGTTTTATCACATCCACCATATAGCCCGGACGTAGCGCCAAGTGATTACCACCTGCTCCTGTCCATGGCGAATGCCCTTGGAGGTGTGAAGTAGAACTCAAAAGAGGCTTGTGAAAAGTGGCTGTCCGAATTCTTCGTAAATAAGGAGGGGGGCTTCTACGAGGAAGCTATTATAAAGTTGCCGTCTAGATGCAAACAGATCATCGAACAAAATGGCGCATTCATTGAAAAGGTACAAAGGTGGCGTAGGAAATTATAAACCTCGTCCAGACATATGCATGTATGTCTGACAATGAATCGATAAGACTCCACACAGAAATTTCTATCCCAATTACAACTATAACACAAGTAACGAATTTTTCCCTTTTGGCCGACGTTTAACTCGTCGTCTTCTCTAGACCCCCCAAAGCAATCCCACTTACTGTTCTCCTTATTTCAATTTTCTACCGCTGAGTTACTTTTTCAGGTTTTGAAACAAAACGAAGTTCCACAAGACCTAGTCAAGGGCGAAACGGTAGATGGTGCCTCCTAATAGGAGAAATTTGAAGATGTGAGGCGATGTGTGGTAATATTTTATAAGCAATTTTTCGTAGCCAAAAGGTCATAATTTTTCGGTGACTCGGCCTGATTAAGCTCTGTGCCCGTATTGGCATAGCTGACCTTGTTTCGAGTACGCATTATTTTCACAGTCCCTTGGTCTGCAGTGTCATGAGTAGCCACTAATTCGCGGCCGCGAAATCTTGAAATTTGGTCAACTTATTTTTTGCTGACGCTATTGAAGAGCAAACCACGGCATGTATCTTTCCAGCGCTCTTCAGTTTTATTACGCGATTTGCAGTATGCGTTCCAAGAATTTTACATACACTAGCTGGCAGTTATGCCATAGGTATATAGGCCTATAAGATGTCAACTTTTTCTGCGAAATCGAAAATCTGGAGACCTGAGGCATGTTCGTGACAAAATGAGACAGCGGTTGAGGTAAGCCAGAGACAAAGTTGGGGGACTTCCCCAAAAACATAATTGCTGCACAATAATGTAGACGAGCAGGAGCATCGAGGTGATCACGCCAGACCTTTTTCAAAAAGTTGAAAATATTATCTTTGACGATGGTCGTTAAAAAGGAACAAGTTGCAGCGATAGTTGGTGTATCGGATACATTTTTTTTTAATTCAGCACGATTACCTTAGCTTGACTAAGATAACGGTATACTGAGTCAAATGTTGTTGGGATGAAACTTGGGTTCACCAATATGAGCCTGAGACGTAACAAGACTGCCGTGGCAGTGGTATAAAAATTGAAACTCATGGCAACGGAGCGAATAATAGATGTGGAAAATTGACAAAAGGTATATCACGAAATGATGGTTACCCTACATAAGGCAGACTTAGATATTTTTATTATCATTACCTGTTTCCAAAAATGAGGGCTAATAAATTTATCACCGAAGATGAGTCAAGGCGGCAGTTTCGCCTTTATGCATTTCATGGATAAAGAGTAAACAACTTTTGTAATTAATTTAATTAAGTTATATTGAAATATCTGGAAAATGTTTACGTCTTGTGGGTGAATGTATTAGAAAGGAAACCTATTTTCTTTATTTCCATCCTTCATTCCTTATTCCGCAAAAATAAAAACCATCCCTCGTATCATTAAGATCTATCCATAATTTTCAGAAAAAATAAATTAAAGCAAAATTAATTTTAATTTTTTTATTATTTCCTTTATTAAAATTTATCAGAAAATTCATAATATTTTTTGCGCTGGTTTTAATAGACCCTTAACCCTTAACGGCTAATCTTTAACTATTAGTGCAAGCAATAAACACTTGACAAAACTTAATTCTTAAATAAATGCACTTTTTTCGTTTACTGAATGATATGCATTAAACCTTCTTTTAAGTTTTATTCAATGACCTTTTTACCTCTAAGATTTGCAATCTGTTTGACACTAAAGCCCAGCAGTTCCGATAGCACTTCATCAGTGTGTTTGCCCATCATAGGCGGTGCTGTGCGTGCATCATTTTTAGACTCACTGTAGACAACGGGTGGTCCGACCACCTTAATACTTCCATCACAGGGATGTTGTAAGGTTTTTACCAAACCAATAGACTGTATGTGCTCGTCCTCAAACACTTCACGTATATTATTTACTGGACCCACTGGAAATGATGCGCCTTCAAATGTTTCCATCCAATCTTTTGACGATTTTTTAGCCAAAATATTTTCCAATAAAGCTATCAATTCGTTACGATTACTAACGCGATCCTTATTAGTTTTGAACTTGGCATTATCCGCAATATCAGTAATTTGAAGTAAACGGCACAATTCTCTAAATTGATCATCACTACCAGTGCCAAGTGTGAGATAACCATCGGCGGTCTTGAAGCTCTGATACGGTACAATACTGGAATGTGCTGTGCCCCAGCGGTGTGCCTCAATGCCGGCATTCAAATAATTGCTAGCCACATTTATTAACAATGACACGCCTGTCGATAAGAGATCGACATCGATTTTTTGGCCATGTCCCGTGCGTTGCCGTTGCAGTAGTGCGGCTAAAATAGCACCGTGCGCATATAGGCCAGTTGCTATATCCGTTACAGCCGTACCCACTTTGCAGGGTGGGCCATCTGGTTGACCTGTTATGTGCACTAGCCCACTCATGGACGACGCGATTACATCATAGCCCGGACGTTTGGCATATGGCCCTACGGAGCCATAACCGGTCATGGAACAATATATAAGTTGTGGCGCCACCTTGCGTACTTGTTCATAGCCCAAACCATATTCAGCCAGCTTACCGGGCACATAATTCTCCACAAGTACGTCACACTTTTTGGCTAATTCATAAATGATGTCTTTGCCGCGCTTAAGATCTATGGCAGCGCTCTTTTTATTACGATTAACCGCTAGAAAATATGTGGAATCTTTACTCTGTGACAAAAATGGCGGTCCCCATTTGCGCGCTTCATCGCCACCATAAAAGGGTCGCTCGATCTTGATTACTTCCGCACCCATATCAGCTAAAATCATGGTACAGTAGGGACCGGAGATGATACGCGTCATGTCGAGTATTCGTACGCCGCTAAGCGGATGCTCGGCAGTGACAGTGGGCGGGTCGGCTTTGCTACTCGTTGCGAAACAGCGGCATCCTATGTGCTTTGGCTTGACTTTATGTCGCAGTACGGTTTGCACTGCGTACGATAGACGAGCGGCGGTATTTGGAAACATTGTCTGCTTTGTCGGGTGAATTATTTATTAGTTTTTGCGATTTTCTTTTATTATCAATTGATTTCGATTTTCGCATTTGCATTTGTGTCCCAGCGCGAATGTAAGTATGTATTATATATTTATTACAATGTGTGCTGCTGATAATTTCACTATTTGTTTAATATTTGCTTTGTTCTTCAATATTTTCTTTGCTCTGCCAATTCGCTTCCCCCAAACACATGCACGTATCACGTAACTTGTTCTCTCCGAGTTTTTCGCACAACTAAATATTTCAACTCGATACTCGACTAGTGTTTTGTTCGTTCACATTTATCAGTGGGAGCGCCAAGGTACTTTCTTTAATCGGTTTGTTACGCGAGTGGATAAAAGCGGCCAGTGTTTGCTTGTCGCTTATGCTTTGATATACATACATACATATATACTCGTATGTACGCAAATATAATATATGTGTGTAAGTAGTTCTTAGCGCTTATCATTCTCAGCGCTCTCAGATTCCATTTGTTTTGATTACAATTTGCTTTTTTTCTATCTTCCGCTTTATTGCCGCCTCCGCCCATCTGTAAACAATTGAAGATTTAATGAATTATGGAAAATATTCCATTTCTTTTTGTTTATTCAGAGTGTAGTGAGTGCCCAAAAAGTTAAGAAACAAAAACGTTCGGAGAGAACGAACTTCTTGTTCTAATTTTGCTCTTTGGAAATTGTTTATAATATATACATATACACATACACATATAGGGTTATCTCTTTTGCCTTTTACATGACATCTGCCTAATTAAACAATCAAAACAAACATGATTTGTTTTGTTTAAAAATCAGGCATTTATAACAATTAAATTGTTAAAAGCTACTAAAAAATGGTGTTTGTAGCCACGCTTCGTGCTTTAAGAGGAGATTATGGTGTATACAGTCGTCGAACTACTCAAGAAATTGCTGAATTTGAAAATAATTTGAAGAGATTGTGCAGCATTGTTTTGCTCGTTCCACCTCAATTAGAGCTACTGTAAATGAAAGTGCGGCCTAAGACTCTTATGTGGCTATTTCTCGACGTTCTCAAGAGCTGGCACTTTCTTACCGCACATCAAGGCACTAAGAGTACCTTCACCTAAATCCATAAAAGATGTAGTTTACACAACTACTGAGGACAGCTAACCATGCACAATGCCGTAAGTACGTCGATTGTGTGCTTGAACAACAAGCGGCGTCTAGGTACATTTCTCGTTAGGAGGATAAGTATATATGCAAAGTTGTCGCAATTGGGGCTCCGAGAATGGCTAAGTGACTTACTATCTTGTACCTTCTTGGGTCCGGAGGCGTGATTGGACCTTACTTCTCTGAAAACGACAACGGCGTTACTGTCACTGCCTATTCCAAATTTTACGGTCATAAATAACCCCGATTATTTTTTTTAGCCTGCAATTGAAGAACACCACTTGGAAAATATGTGGTTTCAACAAGATGGTTCCACATGCCACATTACGCGAGAGAATATGGCTTTAGTGCGAGAGAAATTTACCGGTGGCATAATCTTTCGTCATGGCGATGCCGATTGGCCACCGATATCGTGCGATTCGGCACTCGCAGGCGCTTGAAAACCAACCTTCGTCAAGTTATGGCTGGGATACCGCACAATATGTGCCAAAAGGTATTCGAAAATGACCTCAAATGGCTCTTCAGTTATTCATATATTATACGTTTTTGCTCGAATAGTTCATTTTGATTGAAACACGGCCTTAAACGATACACAATTCCATAAGTAAATGGTGATCAGAGTAGCCTCTATTTCTTACAAAACAGTCTTGGTAAGGAAGACTCTTAAAAATGGAGCTAAATTTACTATTTAAATTTCAATAGTGGTACTATATGACTTCTGTCTAAATGATTCCTAAGCGGAGTATATAAAGTATTTCCTTCATCTGGGTGCGCCCCTGATATGCTTCATGAAAGAAAGCCCTGAACATTTACGCTCTTGGAGAAAGGAAAAATCGAAATGAAAATGATTAGATGTGCTGACAATCATATACCGGACCTCCACAAATTCGTTTTGTCCCCACACATATTTAGTAGATTTCTTACTTCTAAATGGAGGTATGCTTCACCCACAACCATAGCTGGCTATATCGTACTCAGTCTTCCCCCATTCATTGCGCTTTTTCCATGTAGCGATGTCGCTAAGCTAAGCTTAACGAGTTCGATAGAGACTTTTGGTGGACATCAAAAAGAAGATTTTTGCACCTTATTAAGAAAAGGTCAAACTATGAGAGGTATGCCTGCTGATAATTGCAACGACTTTCAAGCTCAAATCGCTGCTTTTCTCAGGGCTGCAGAATATATTGAAAATAGTACTGTGACTAACCGTGGCGGCCGCGGTAATAGAGTAACAGGTAATTGAGAGCAATTACATATATAATACTTTGACTTGCCACAAATCTCGATTGTCCTCATTGCAAAGAGATGACATCATTAAAGTTATAAGAGTTACCCCCGTGGGTCACTATGAGATAGAGCGACTGGAATAAAGCGTTGGAGTCCCTTTTAAGCGTTGTAGAAAAACTTTCACGTGTGATGGGAAAGAAAAAAAAATCAGCCTTTCTATTTACAGTTCGGACTGTCACCTTTCCAACGATATATAATATGTATATATTTCTTTCACGTGCGCCACTCTCAAACGATTCGAACGGCATCCAGCGGAATCGGGCACGAACTTATGCACTCATCCAATACATACAACTTTTCCTGTATGTATCTTGGCGACAAGATTAATGTCAGACGCTCGAAGAAGTCGTTTGTGGCCACATCCTTCATTTCTTTCGACGAGACGTGGACACAAATCAGTGAATTTAACGTGATGGAGAGAATAAATGGCAACGGACAATCTATTTTCCAATGCAAATCCAACACTAAGCTTGAGTGCCTTTGTATGGTGTCTGTAATAAATCTCACAAATAGTGTCTCATCACGTTCATCGCTACTCTTAAATGTTGGTGCTGTCAGCCTTAATATAATATTTACGTTGACATCAATCAGCTGTGCAGCAGTACTTTTCCAAATAAAGAGACCGGATATTAAAAGTGCATTCCTTTAAAATGGGAAATTATTAATTAATATTACATAACACCTGAAGCAAGCCTGAAACAATTTTAGCCAAGCTCTTTCTCCGATTTGTCGTGCACGGCTTGATATTTTCTAACAGTTGGAGAGATCTGAAGTATATTATAATGGATGGATGGATGATGGATTCTTATTAGTAGCGCGCACTTCTCACAACTCCTCTCCGGCAGCCGATACCCGCTTGCAGTCGTACTTCTGCTGAACAGACGTTTCGCTTTGACTTCAAACTGAATATGCCAGAGGAGCTTCACTGAAGCAACTGCTTAGTGCATGCAGTCTCTACATTACACAGCTTAATAAAAAGAAAGTAAAAATAAATTTATACTTATGTATATAACTTGTAAGCTTTTTCATCAATGGAAAAGTTTATTTAAAAACAGAATTAGTTGTAATATTATTTTCGTAACAAACAAATACGATATCGAAACCAGAGGTCAAAAAAACGATTGCTTTTTTTCTGTTTTTCACCGCAAACGTGATTTATAATTTATGATACAGCTTCATGACATAAACATATGCACATACATACGAGTATATAAAGCAATGTGCTTCTATATCATTTTGTCATATTTTGTTTACTTTTATTTATTCATTTTTTGCGGTTAAACAATTAAACTGGTTCAAGATTTTGCACATCACCGCCATCGTTTGAGCAAAAAAAAAAAAAAAAAAAAATCGAAAAAAACCCAAAAACAGAAAAATTTAAATGTAAAACATAAATAGCGAGTATATAAGTATGTAGTATGAAGGCACAAGTGTAGTAAACCTTTGAAGAGTACAAAAAATATAAATGCATACTAAAGTTAACAGCTTCGAACGATGACCTTTACCTAGTTTACAGTGAATAAGCACGAATTAGATAAACTTTGTAATAAAAGATTTTGGCTTTATGAAAAACGAGCTCGGTATGTTTCCCTAAAAATGTTTGGCGTACAAAACTGTTTAGTTTAATAGCAAATAGAATCTATTTCAATAGGCAAAGCGAAAGAAAGTGAAATGGCTTCAAGTGCTTGCATCATGCTAAGGCGTTCGCCTTGAATACGACTTATGAGAAATGGAAAGATTTGAATGTAAAAAAAGACGTTGGAGTAACCGTAGCCATCTTTAGATCCTTAATTGGTTTTTGGTATTTTACTAATTTTTGGAGGTCTACGAGTATACAAATGAATGGCCGCAGTAGCCGAATGCTTAGCATGGCGTGCTAACATTTCGAAGCTCAATCTGATCAAATATCCTAAATTATAGAAAATTAATTTTCCCAATTGCCTCCGCCCATCGGCAGAATGACATATATATGGGTCTCTCCATTTGTTCCTGTTCTTTTTTTTGAAAGCATCCAGATAAGCACCACTAATTGGAGGCGGATTGCGGCCGAAAATCGCTTCAGCGGTTAGATTGAACCAAATATGCATATATAGTATGTAAGGTTAGAGTAAGTTTGTAGTGGTTCTCGTATCGATTTTACTTTGGCCTAACTAAGACCCATTGTGAAGTCACAAAAACTTGACCATAAGACTTAATTATTCAGCCATTTTGAGGCTCTAATGAACCTCATTAGATCCATGACTTTGACCTTGGCTGTCTTTGATAGACCATACAGCAGTGGGGTCCCGAAATTCCGAAACCTAGCCCTTTTCATCATTCTAATAGGCAGGTGCCCGTCAGTACTTCTCTTATTCCATTTTGGTCAGGTGTGCTTGGTTTTTGCAACAAGTTTTACTTTCATTCCATCTTTACGCGGCTTTGTTCATATGTTGAGAAGGATCATGAAAGAGGCAAATGCGTTCTTAATCGAGAGGAATCTGCTGATAGTTTCCCTTGATGCATCCATCACCAGGGACTCACATGAGACCCAGTCTGTACTGTTTGCAATAATACAGCATCATTTAGCGCAGTGCTTTAATTGCAGCCTAACTGTCGCTGAAAATGAAGATATGCTTATCTTTAAAGGTGGCTCCGATTTGCTTTGCTGTCTTTAGGATAACGGATACCATCTCTTGAAACACACTGTCTGAAGTAGAGCTCCACAGGAAAATTCCATGGGAAGACATCTCTGCCGACTCTCAGCTTTGATCCATCCGTAAATTTTCAGGCTGTCCCCTGGGGTGTGGTAATTAGCCACCCACATAATGTATGAAGGCACCCCAAAGGGAAATGAAGTGCCAAAAATTTCATTTCATCATTAATTAATTTTTCATTTCAATCGACTGCTATGAGGAAGCTACGCTCACAGCATGGCTCGCGTATTCAATGCAAAGCAAATATTATTTAAATATTCTTGTTATTGATGGAGGGACATGGTAAATTCTTGCAAATAAACTGCCTAATCTGAGATAAGCCTAAAGGTCAAGCAGCAAAAGAAGTATTTAGTTGGCATTTACGAAGAATTCCTTTCAACTGGCTGAAATACTCGCCATCATATTAAGCAACCAACCACTTTAATGACTTGACTTCTTTGATGTTGAAGGGATTCAAATTCGACGACTGACATTGCAAGGGCGACGAATACAGATGCCTTTAAAAAACTAGTAAGAAGTATTGTTTTCGGTCATGCCGAACAT